ACCGTACCATTAGGCCTGCCTGTCCATTCCACTGCTCCTGCCCTGACATAAACACTGGGCAACTTACTCCTGACCCCTGAACTCTGCGTTACTTACTCCTGACCCCTGACCTCTGCGTTACTTACTCCTGACCCCTGAACTCTGCGTTACTTACTCCTGACCCCTGAACTCTGCGTTACTTACTCCTGACCCCTGAACTCTGCGTTACTTACTCCTGACCCCTGAACACTGCGTTAATTACTCCTGACCCCCTGAACTCTGCGTTACTTACTCCTGACCCCTGAACTCTGCGTTACTTACTCCTGACCCCTGAACTCTGCGTTACTTACTCCTGACCCCTGAACTCTGCGTTACTTACTCCTGACCCCTGAACTCTGTGTTACTTACTCCTGACCCCTGAACTCTACGTTACTTACTCCTGACCCCAGAACTCTGCGTTACTTACTCCTGACCCCAGAACTCTGTGTTACTTACTCCTGACCCCTGAACTCTGTGTTACTTACTCCTGACCCCTGAACTCTGCGTTACTTACTCCTGACCCCTGAACTCTGCGTTACTTACTCCTGACCCCTGAACTCTGCGTTACTTACTCCTGACCCCTGAACTCTGCGTTACTTACTCCTGACCCTGCACTGTGTGTTAAATACTACTGACCCCTGATCTACTGACCTTTAAACCTCTACACAGTGCTTTTGCTTAACTGCTGCTTCTCCCAATGCAAGTTTCTGAGTCCACCAACTGACTAAAAAAACCAATGCACTCCCTGTGTGGCTGATGTCTTCATTTCAGTGGCCTACCCTACGAGCAAAAAACATGGCAAAGAAGCTCATGCACCTTTTTGAGCTCCAATCATTCATGCACTTTCAGTACCACATATTCTTGCGTGGTTTTTTTTTTTGCCTCATTTGGTGTGACATTAACAGTGAATGGCTTTGTAAGCGTGACAAGCGTGTGTTTTTTTGCCTGTTTCACGTAAGTTGCATGCACCCGTGTGAACAGGAACTTACAGTCATGGCCAAAAATATTGCTTCCCCCCCTGCACTTCACCCAGAACATTGCTGCAATGACAAATGTTTTGGCACTCTCATGTTTATTTCTTTGGTTTGTATTGGTGGCACAAAAAGTGGAGAAACAAAAAGCCAAATCTGACACATTCCACCAGAACCCCAAAAATGGACCGGACAGAATTATTGGCACCCTCCATGCAATATTTGGTAGCACACCCCTTGGAGAAAATACCTGAAATCTATGTCTTCCTGGAACCATCAATAAGGTCCTTCCACCTCTCTCCTGGAATTCTGGATCGCTCTTTTTCCTCCAACTGCTGCTCCGGGTCCCTCAGATTGGAAGGTTCCTTTCCCCCGACTGCTCCGGGTCTCTCAGATTGGAAGGTTCCTTTCCCCAACTGCTGGTCTGAGATCTGTCCACAGGAGCTCTATGGGATGGAGATCTGGAATCATTGTTGGCCAGTTCAGTCCTCTCCAGCACTTTGTCTGACACCATCTCTGGGGGCTTTGTGACGTGTGCTTTGGGTCATTGTCCTGCTGGAAGCCCCATGACCTCTGACACTGGAGACCCGACTTTCTGACACCGGGCCCTACATTGCACCCCAGAATTCTTTGGTAGTCTTCAGATTTAATAATGCCAAGACATCCAGTGCCTGAAGCAGCAAAGCAGCGGCAAAACCGTCAGTGACCCCCCACCATGTGTGACTGGAGGGACTGTGACCCCCCACCATGTGTGACTGGAGGGACTGTGACCCCCCACCCTGTGTGACTGGAGGGACTGGATTTTTTTCTTTAAAGGCCTCATTGCTTTTTCTGAAAACAGTACAATGATGGGCTTTACCAAAATGCTGCCATTTTGTTTTGTCTGTCCCCAGCACATTCTCCCAAAAGGATTTTGGCTTCCTCAGGTAAGTTTTGGCAAACTCCAATCTGGCTTCCATTATGTTTCTGTGTCAGCGGTGGGGTCCTCCTGGGTCTCCTCCCATATTTATGTGTCAGCAGTGGGGTCCTCCTTGGTCTCCTACCATATTTCTGTGTCAGCGATGGGGTCCTCCTGGGTCTCCTACCATATTTCTGTTTCAGTGGTAGGGTCCTCCTGGGTCTCCTACCATATTTCTGTGTCAGCAGTGAGGTTCTCCTTGGTCTCCTACCATATTTCTGTGTCAGCGGTGGGGTCCTCCTGGGTCTCCTCCCAAATATCTGTGTCAGCGGTTGGGTCCTCCTGGGTCTCCTCACATATTTCTGTGTCAGCAGTGGGGTTCTCCTGGGTTTTCTACCATATTTCTGTGTCAGTGGTGAGTCCTCCTGGGTCTCCTCCCATATTTATGTGTCAGCAGTGGGGTCCTCCTTGGTCTCCTACCATATTTCTGTGTCAGCGATGGGGTCCTCCTGGGTCTCCTACCATATTTCTATGTCAGCGGTGGGGTCCTCCTGGGTCTCCTACCATATTTCTGTGTCAGCGATGGGGTCCTCCTGGGTCTCCTACCATATTTCTGTGTCAGCAGTGGGGTCCTCCTGGGTCTCCTACCATATTTCTGTTTCAGTGGTGGGGTCCTCCTGGGTCTTCTACCATATTTCTGTGTCAGTGGTGGAGTCCTCCTGGGTCTCCTCCCATATTTCTGTGTCAGCAGTGGGGTCCTCCTGGGTCTTCTACCATATTTTCTGTGTCAGTGGTGGGGTCCTCCTGGGTCTCCTCCCATATTTCTGTGTCAGCAGTGGGGTCCTCCTGGGTCTTCTACCATATTTCTGTGTCAGTGGTGGGGTCCTCCTGGGTCTCCTCCCATATTTCTGTGTCAGCAGTGGGGTCCTCCTGGGTCTCCTACCATATTTCTGTGTCAGCAGTGGGGTCCTTTTTGGTCTCCTACCATATTTCTGTGTCAGCAGTGGGGTCCTCCTGGGTCTCCTACCATATTTCTGTGTCAGCAGTGGGGTCCTCCTGGGTCTCCTACCATATTTCTGTGTCAGCAGTGGAGTCCTCCTGGGTCTCCTACCATATTTCTGTGTCAGTGGTGGGGTCCTCCTGGGTCTCCTACCATATTTCTGTGTCAGCAGTGGGGTCCTCCTGGGTCTCCTACCATATTTCTGTGTCAGTGGTGGGGTCCTCCTGGGTCTCCCCTCATATTTCTGTGTCAGCAGTGGGGTCCTCCTGGGTCTCCTACCATATTTCTGTGTCAGCAGTGGAGTCCTCCTGGGTCTCCTACCATATTTCTGTGTCAGCAGTGGGGTCCTCCTGGGTCTCCTAACATATTTCTGTGTCAGCAGTGGAGTCCTCCTGGGTCTCCTACCATATTTCTGTGTCAGCGGTGGGGTCCTCCTGGGTCTCCTACCATATTTCTGTGTCAGCAGTGGAGTCCTCCTGGGTCTCCTACCATATTTCTGTGTCAGTGGTGGGGTCCTCCTGGGTCTCCTCCTACCATATTTCTGTGTCAGCAGTGGGGTCCTTTTGGGTCTCCCACCATATTTTCTGTGTCAGCAGTGGGGTCCTGCTGGGTCTCCTCCCCATATTTCTGTGTCAGCAGTGGGGTCCTCCTGGGTCTCCTACCATATTTCTGTGTCAGTGGTGGAGTCCTCCTGGGTCTCCCCCCATATTTCTGTGTCAGCAGTGGGGTCCTCCTGGGTCTCCTACCATATTTCTGTGTCAGCAGTGGGGTCCTCCTGGGTCTCCTACCATATTTCTGTGTCAGCGGTGGGGTCCTCTGGGTCTCCAACCATATTTCTGTGTCAGCAGTGGAGTCCTCCTGGGTCTCCTCCCATATTTCTGTGTCAACAGTGGAGTCCTCCTGGGTCTCCTCCCATATTTCTGTGTCAGCAGTGGAGTCCTCCTGGGTCTCCTACCATAGCATCCCTTCTCATTCAGATGGCAATGCATAGTGCAAACTGACACAGTTGTACCTGAAGGTCAGCTTGGATTTTTCTGGAAGTTGATGGAGGTTCTTTAGCCACCATGTCAATGATTCTTTGTTACAATCTGTGATCTATTCTTCTCTTTTGTCCACGTCCAGGGAGATTAGCTACAGTGCCTTGGGCTGTACGCTTCTTGACAATGCTGCGCACAGTGGACACAGGAACATGAAGATCTCTGGAGATGGACTTGTAACCTTGAGATTGTCCATACTTTTCCATGAATTTTGTTCTCCAATCCTCAGACAATTATTTGCTGCTCTTCCTCTCCTCCATGCTCCATGTGGCCCACAGAGACACACAAGAGAAAGGTGGAGGCCATTTGTCACCATTGTCCCCGGTTGTCGGTGTGATTTCTATATTGTCACCACCCGGTCATGGATACGGGGGAGTTTAATTATTATTATTATTATTATACAGTATTTATAAAGCGCCAATAGTTTGCTCAGCGCTGTACATTACAAAGGGGGACAGAACATGTGACAGAACAATACCAATACAATGCAAAACATGAGGGGATTGAGGGCCCTGATCCTTGGAGCTTACAATCTAGGAGGGAGGGGATGGTGGTACAGGAGGAGATAGCTGTGGGGGATGGAGTGGTAGGAAGAGTGGAGGAGGTCAGCAAGTTAGCAGGGGGTGGGGTAGGCTTCCTGAAGAGATGGGTTTTCAGGGTGCGCCTAAAGGAGAGGAGAGTAGGTGATAGTCTGATGGGTTGGGGCAGGGAGTTCCAGAGGATGGGTGACACCCTGGAGAAGTCCTGGAGGCGGGCATGGGAGGAGGAGACCAGGGAACTAGAGAGAAGGAGGTCTTGTGAGGAGCGGAGTGTGCGTGTTGGGCGGTACTTGGATATTAGGTCAGTGATGTAGTTCGGGGCAGTATGGTGGACGGCTTTGTACGTCAGTGTTAGGATTTTGAATTTGATCCGTTGTGCAATCGGAAGCCAGTGGAGGGATTGGCAGAGGGGGGTGGAGGACACGGAGTGGAGGCCAGTGGAGGGATTGGCAGAGAGGGGTGGAGGACACTGAGTGGAGGCCAGTGGAGGGATTGGCAGAGGGGGGTGGAGGACACTGAGTGGAGGCCAGTGGAGGGATTGGCAGAGAGGGGTGGAGGACACGGAGTGGAGGCCAGTGGAGGGATTGGCAGAGAGGGGTGGAGGACACTGAGTGGAGGCCAGTGGAGGGATTGGCAGAGGTGGGGTGGAGGCCAGTGGAGGGATTGGCAGAGGGGGGTGGCGGAGATGGAGCGGTTGGAAAGGTGAATGAGTCTGGCAGCCGTATTCAGGATGGACTGAAGCGGGGATAGCCAGCGGCGAGGCAGGCCAGTGAGGAGGGAGTTGCAGTAGTCGAGTCGTGATATGATGAGGGAGTGGATGAGCTGTTTAGTGGTTTCTGGGGTTAGGAACGTGCGGATTTTGGCGATGTTGCGGAGGTGGAGTCTGCATGTTGCGGGGGCGGGGTCTGCATGTTGCGGAGGTGGAGTCTGCATGTTGCGGGGGCGGAGTCTGCATGTTGCGGAGGTGGAGTCTGCACGAGTTTGTTAAAGATTGGACTTGGGGCTGGAAGGATAGGTTGACAAATTACAGGAGCGACACAAACTTGTTTTCACGGACCCATCTCCGAAATGGAAACCAGAAGGGATTCCAGAATTCAATTTTGAGGAAAGATACAAGACAGGCAAAAAGAAGTGGTTCTTCTGGAATCTGGGGGTCTGGAGCATTCTTCATTTGATATACCATTAAACTTTTTAAAAAAGTAAAAAATGAAGAAAAATCCTGTAAAGTGAGACCACATTTTCTGAGCCACTAGGTGGTCCTGGCCCAGCTCCCGCTACATTCCTGAACTTTATCTGGACTCTGTGTGCTGCCTAGACCCCAAAACCTAAGACCACTGGAACTTGGGTCTATGATCGGGATCTGCACCAGACTTTTCACTCCTTTCGTCTTTTTTTTCCCCTTTCTTCTGTAATTCGTTGTGATGTACTCCGGCGGCAGGAGCCAAGAACATATCTAATTCTTGGGCGTTCAGTGCTTGAGAACAGATGAAGCCATGCTGTTTGCTGCAGTTAATGACTTCTCTGTCCTGTTAGTAATCTGTACTCTACAACTTGCCCATGAATGACGCCTCCTTCTGGTACAAAAAAAAAAAAACATAGAGGGGAATGAAATGGCGTAATGACTAATATCAGTGGAAATAATGAAACGTGCCGCCGGGGCTCTTCTGTCATGTATGTGTAGTAGGCATGGAAGACACAAACACATTCACGGTGGATGTCCACACAGAGGTCACGGCGATATTTCCAGGAGGACGCACTGGTAGACTTCATTCCAGGGTTACAACCCACATGGAAGAAAAATATATTTTTAATATATTCTCAAAATATTCTTCCCAAATATATTGACATAAATATGAAATACTACAAATTTGGCCGTATTCAATATATTTCCAAATCTATTTCAATATATATATATAACAGCCGAGTTCTGTGAGGCCGCGTTTTCGTGTGAGGTCGGCATCAAGGGGTTAAGGAGCGGGCGTCCGCTGTGTCCTTAACAACTAGACATGTGCGTTTCGTTCCCAATCGCATTTCCGACAAATTTTTTCGTTATTCGGAGAAAAAAAACGAATTACAAAAATAATAAATTTAAACGAATCACAAAAATGAAACAAAATTTGGCCGAAATTCGATTCGAAAACAAATTCAAATTCAAAAACAAAATTGAAAACAAATTCGAAAACGAACATTTGAAAACACATTTTTTGGAATTTTTTTCGAGTTTGGTTGAAATCTTTTTGATTGCGAACGACTTTTCAAATTTTCCGGGAGGACGCACTGGTAGACTTCATTCCAGGGATACAACCCACATGGAAGAAAAATAGATTTTTAATATATTTTCAAAATATTCTTCCCAAAAATATTGACATAAATATGAAATACTACAATTTTGGGCGTATTCAATATATTTCAAAATCTATTTCAATATACAGTGGGGATCGAAAGTTTGGGCACCCCAGCTAAAAATGTGTATTATTGTGCATAAAGAAGCCAAGGAAAGATGGAAAAATCTCCAAAAGGCATCAAATTACAGATTAGACATTCTTATAATATGTCAACAAAAGTTAGATTTTATTTCCATCATTTACACTTTCAAAATAACAGAAAACAAAAAAATGGCGTCTGCAAAAGTTTGGGCCCCCTGCAGAATTTATAGCATGCACTGCCCCCTTTGCCAAGCTGAGACCTGCCAGTGTCATGGATTGTTCTCAATCATCGTCTGGGAAGACCAGATGATGTCAATCTCAAAGGTTTTAAATGCCCCGACTCATCTGACCTTGCCCCAACAATCAGCACCATGGGTTCTTCTAAGCAGTTGTCTAGAAAACTGAAACTGAAAATAGTTGACACTCACAAAGCTGGAGAAGGCTATAAGAAGATAGCAAAGCGTTTTCAGATGTCAATATCCTCTGTTCGGAATGTAATTAAGAAATGGCAGTCATCAGGAACAGTGGAAGTTAAAGCAACATCTGGAAGACCAAGAAAAATATCAGACAGAACAGCTCGCAGGATTGTGAGAAAAACAATTCAAAACCCACGTTTGACTGCACGATCCCTCCAGAAAGATCTGGCAGACACTGGAGTTGTGGTCACTATTCCACTATAAAGAGATACTTGTACAAATATGGGCTTCATGGAAGAGTCATCAGAAGAAAACCTCTTCTACGTCCTCACCACACAAAAATCATCGTTTGAACTTTGCAAATGAACATATAGACAAGCCTGATGCAGTTTGGAAACAAGTTCTGTGGACCGATGAGGTTAAAATTGAACTTTTTGGCCGGAATGAGCAAAGGTACGTTTGGAGAAGAAGGGGCACAGAATTTAATGCAAAGAACCTCTGTCCAGCTGTTAAGCATGGGGTTGGATCAATCATGGTTTGGGGTTGTGTTGCAGCCAGTGGCACAGGGAACATCTCACGAGTAGAAGGAAAAATGGATTCAATAAAATTTCAGCAAATTTTGGATGGTAACTTGATGCCATCTGTGAAAAAGCTGAAGTTAAAGAGAGGATGGCTTCTACAAATGGATAATGATCCTAAACACACCTCGAAATCCACAGGGGATTACATCAAGAGGCGTAAACTGAAGGTTTTGCCACGGCCTTCACAATCTCCTGACCTCAACATCATTGAAAATCTATGGATAGACCTTAAAAGAGCCGTGCGTGACAGACAGCCCAGAAATCTCAAAGAACTGGAAGACTTTTGTAAGGAAGAATGGGCAAAGATACCTCAAACAAGAATTGAAAGACTCTTGGCTGGCTACAAAAAGTGTTTACAAGCTGTGATACTTGCCAAAGGGGGCAGTACAAGATATTAACTCTGCAGGGGGCCCAAACTTTTGCAGACGCCATTTTTTTGTTTTCTGTTATTTTGAAAGTGTAAATGATGGAAATAAAATCTAACTTTTGTTGACATATTATAAGAATGTCTAATCTGTAATTTGATGCCTTTTGGAGATTTTTCTATCTTTCCTTGGCTTCTTTATGCACATTAATACAAACTTTTAGCTGGGGTGCCCAAACTTTCCATCCCCACTGTATATATATATATATAAAAGCCGGGTTCTGTGAGGCCACGTTTTCGTGTGAGGTCGGCATCAAGGGGTTAAGGAGCGGGGCGCCCGCTGTGTCCTTAACAACTAGACATGTGCGTTTCGTTCCCAATCACATTTCTAACAAATGTTTTCGTTATTCAGAGATTCGGATTTATCTGAATAACGAATTACAAAAATAATAAATTTAAACGAATCACAAAAATGAAACAAAATTTGGCCGAAATTCAATTAGAAAACAAATTCAAATTCAAAAACAAAATTGAAAACAAATTCAAAAACAAAATCAAAAGAACATTCGAAAACAAATTTTTTTGAATTTTTTTTCGAGTTTGGTTGAAATCTTTTCGATTGCGAACGACTTTTCGAATTTTCCGGGAGGACGCACTGGTAGACTTCATTCCAGGGATACAACTCACATGGAAGAAAAATATATTTTTTAATATATTTTCAAAATATTCTTCCCAAATATATTGACATAAATATGAAATACTACAATTTTGGCCGTATTCAATATATTTCAAAATCTATTTCAATATATATATATAAAAGCCGGGTTCTGTGAGGCCGCGTTTTCGTGTGAGGTCGGCATCAAGGGGTTAAGGAGCGGGCGCCCGCTGTGTCCTTAACAACTAGACATGTGCGTTTCGTTCCCAATCGCATTTCCGACAAATTTTTTCCTTATTCAGTGAAAAACGAAACGAATTACAAAAATAATAAATTTAAAGGAATCACAAAAATTGAAACAAAATTTGGCCGAAATTCGATTCGAAAACAAATTCCAATTCAAAAACAAAATTGAAAACAAAATCAAACGAACATTCGAAAACAAATTTTTTGGAATTTTTTTTTTTCGAGTTTGGTTGAAATCTTTTCGATTGCGAACGACTTTTCGAATTTTCCAGGAGGACGCACTGGTAGACTTCATTCCAGGGATACAACCTACATGGAAGAAAAATATATTTTTAATATATTTTCAAAATATCCTTCCCAAATATATTGACATAAATATGAAATACTACAATTTTGGCCGTATTCAATATATTTCAAAATCTATTTATATATATATATATATACACTGTATGTCGAAATGTGTTTTTATTACAAAATATATGAAAAATATTTTTAAAAATACATTTTCAGATATACTGTATGTCTTTAAAAATACATTTAATCTACATTATTGGAATGCATTTATTTATTTCAGGTACTTATATAGCTCCGTCAATGTACGCAGCGCTTTACATATATATTGTACATTCACATCAGTCCCCGCCCCCGAGGAGCGTCCAATCTAAGGTCCCTAACTCACATTCATACATACACATACTAGGGACAATATAGACAGGAGCCAATTCACCTACCAGCATGTCTTTGGAGCGTGGGAGGAAACCAGAGCACCCAGAGGAAACCCACACAGGCACAGGGAGAACATGCAAACTCCAGGCAGGTGGTGCCATGGTTGGGATTCGAACCAATGACCCGAGGACTGCCAGGCGGAAGAGCTAACCATTTAGCCATTTACAGATATATGTAAAAATATATGTTAAAATGACTTTTTTATATGTTAAAAAAAAATCTGAAGTGGGCGGTGCCTGTTGGGCCCCTCCCACACTCCTGCTCTCTCTCCTTGTGCAGGGAGACTGGTCTTGTCTCCACCCCCTCCTGTAGTTTTCTGTAGTGGGTGCTGCCTGCTGGGCCCCTCCCACAGCTCTGATCTCTGCACAAGCTCTGCACCTTCCCTGTTCTCTCCAACATTATCAAAAGAATTAAAAAAAAAAACTTAGGCTGGAGTTCCCCTTTAAAAGCAGAGATGCACTTTAATAAAACTTCTGTTCAAAGTTAGAATCTCTTGCTGAGTAGATGTGGCCGGGAGCCAAGAGCTAATGGTTAGTATTGGCACAAAGGAGCTAGTACGG